CAAAGTCCCAGTCAGGGTCATCATGTTGGAAGACCCTTTGTTTTGCACGAAGTTGCTGGAGTCCCCATGGAGAGAGGAAGTGATTGGAGCATGAGTCCCAGTTGGAGGAGTTGAAGCAGTGGGATTCACGTTCGAAGTATCCTGCATGAGCAAAGAGAAGTTAAGAACATGCACTAAGGTATGAATAACTATTTTTGTTAGGAATTCGAATTTGAATTACCTGTGGATTATCAGAAGAAATATTACTATCAATATGTTCCAATATTACATTGGAGGTCGAAGGTGGAATTTTGGATGTTGTTGAGGGAGAAACGTCTTTGAGATCAAGCCCAAGAACGTTAGTAGGCTCAGGGCCTTTGGAGCTTTCTTTCTTTTTCTTCTTCTTAGAAGCTGTTGGAGAATTTTCACCAGTCTTGAGGTTCTTTTCAGTAGGGTCTTGTTTCCTTTTCTTAGGAGTTATGGGTGGAAGTTTGCTAGTCTGAAAAGGTTTAAACATAAGTTAGACCTAAATCATAAACTTCAGTTCATTCGAAACAATAGGGTTAGTTGATTACCTTTGGAATTGAAATGTCTGCTGTTGCCGTTGTTGTTGTTGTAGTAGTAGTTGTTGTTGTGGGTATCGTTGGAGTTGCATCATCGCTAACTTCAATAGCTTGCTGAGAAGTGTTCCCTTCCTTGGGTTTTGAAGTAACATTCTTTATCCTAATGGCTGAAAAGTGAAATAATTAAGGTAAAGTGTTAAGGATAAGGGAATTAGGATACAATTGGAATTTTCCCAAGCATTCGCACCTGTGCCTTGATTAGATGTAATCAAAATGGCAGGAAGGTCATAGCGAAGATGTCCTAGGAAATTATGAAGCCAGTAACGAGCCCATGTCACAGTCTCAGATGGCTTTAGTTTCTTTCGAGATTGGTATTTGAACATTTCTTTGCAAGTAAACCACTAAGGGTATGGAGGAAACCAAGCCAGATCCAGTTATGAGGTAGGCAACCTAGGAAATTTAGGTGGATGCATTTCGAGTGCCAACCTATACCTACCCTCAGGTGACAACCGTGAAGGAAGTTTGAGTTTAGAAATTTTTTCTTTAAATTTTTCCTTCAAGGTCTCGGCCGCTCGATGTACAGTGGTTTCCAAGTATGCGGGATCGTAAGTGGTTTCAAAATAATTTTGAAAAACCCTAATTTCTTTGACGTGAGTGAACATACCTTTCTTAGAGTGTACCTGCACATTGAACGCGTCAGTTAGCTTTTGTTGAATGGTGAGTGTGTCAAACATATAGGTCTGGTAGAACTTAGTCCACCATTCAAGAAATCCTTTTGCTGTGAAGTATGTTGGCTCGAAAGGTAAAAGCTCGAACTGATCAAAATCTTGGTATTGTTCCTGTTGTAATTTGGCCTCTCTTGCTTTGAACGTTTTGCCGAAGGTTATGGCACTTTGTGTTTGGAACAAAGGTTCAGGAATTAATTGGCACAGGCCAAATTATCGAGAAACAAAATTGGGTTGATAAGCCAGGAGGAAAATCTGATTCTTGTTTGGAGTAATTCTTGAGGAAATTAGCCTAGGAAGAAGAAACGCTTTCCAAATGTCCTGCATCTCTTTGCTCTTGACAGCTTCTGAGAGAGACATTGTGAGCCATGATGGTCCATAAGTCCCTTGAGCAAAAGGTGCCATGGACTCTTCGAACTTGTGTCTTTTTGAGAAGATCACGATGTATTTAGAAAAATGGACTTTGAAATCATCCTTGTCATCATTTGGGGTGAGCTTTCGAAGTCTCGTGCCTTCGATGCTCCTGTCAGCTATTTCTGGATCTTGTTCGATGATGGTATCAGCGGTTGATAAAGAAGATTCGAACATGGCATTAAGCCATAATTGAAGCAACCAAAAGGGTCCAGCCAGAAGAATGTTCTTTGGAGCATGGGATTTTAAACTAGAAACTGTTGACCTTAAGCTCTCATAAAGATCGACAAGTAACAGTTCACTCAGGCAGACTTTCCTATTTTCATGGAAATCCCTGGCTAGGGGAATGAACCTACTCGCCACTTGCAAGGATCTGCTGCAAAATACATATCGTGATAGCCACAAGGTGAGGAAAGCAATATGTTCTACGTCTGAGACATCATCCTCTTCAGTATGATAATGGCTGATGAATTTTGAAAAGCTAGCTAGTTTGACATCGAAGTCAATGATGCTAGAATGTTCTTCGTTGTCAGGAATGTAAGTTTCCCCCACTGGTGAAAGACCAGTGATGACAGCTATATCAAAAAAGGTGGGTGTTATCATTCTGCCCGGAAGGTGGAAAGTGTTATAAGTGTTGTCCCAGAATTACAATGAAGCAAATAGCAATGGGTGACTGTAAGTGAAGCCTGGTTTCGACAGTTTCATTAAATTATAAATTCCTAATTCTTCCCATTGCTGGGATTTTTTGGATTCTACTTTAGTGAGCCAGTTTTGATATGCTACATCTGAAGTGGGGCAGGATCGAAATGGCTTGAAATTGCTTTTGATATAATCTAAAATAAAAGGATCTTTTGGAGGTAAGGCTGGAGTTTCAGTTGTTTTCGAATCAGATGATTCGCTTAGGTCTTCAGTTCCTGCCTTAGGGGCATCCATTTTGTTGAATAGGGGTTTGAATTTATAGCAAACGGGAAAAATTTTCCTAGTATCTTTCAGAATTTCAAAAACAGTTAAAGGACCCATTAGGGCAAACCTTTTTCCAGCAATAATGGTAGGGATTAATACCTGAGAAGCATACAACATTTCTTTCTCTTTGGAGATCACTTGAGGATTGAGCACATATTGATTCTGGTAAATACTCACTTTGCTCTCCACGACGGTTTCCGTGTTGTTCTTGTTCTTCCTCTTTGATAATTTCTTCAATTGTGATGATGTTGATGAAAACATTGTTAAGATTGTTGGAAGTTTTAGGGTTTAGTGGAAAAGGAGGGGGGTTTCAGAAATTTTGGAGAAAAAGAAGAAAAGACTAAACTGATGAGTTTTATAGAGTGAGTGTAAGCACCCACTAAATAAGACTAGGGGTACGTGGAAGTCGTTGGTTGGATTCAGAGAGAGGTGGCATAAAATCTAGTGTTGGTAATGAGTGTGATTAATAGTAATCATTATTTTTAAACTGCACCATGCTGTGGTAACTGGTCCCAGACGGTTAAGTACTCAAAGAGGCGTCTTGATTGACGTGGATAAAGTCATGCACAGTAAATGTCATGATTCTTCAAAAGACCTATCAAAATCTTGTGAATCTATTTAAAATAAGTATTTCTCAAAGGGTTCGAAATACATATTTTAAAGGGGCATTTTGTTGGCTGAAGATTTTGATATTGTGATTCGAAATGAAATCACTGTGATTGGGCTTTGTTTGAATAAAGCAAGTTTGATGGGTTGGAATGGAAGAGACTGTTTTTCGAAAGGAAATATTAAAGTTCAAAGTTTTGAATGATAGTTGTAGGGTGTAAGTCTAAAGCCTTGTTCGAAATAATGATGAGATTATATTTGTGAAGGTTGTTTTCGGAAATAACCTGTGAACGAATTCGAAATGAAGGTTCCAAAACATTTGAAATTCAAACGTGAGCGGGATATTGGAAATTCAAATACACAAGCATAAGGGCGTTCGAGGACGCGTGGGGGCTAGAGAGAAGTAATGCTCTGCATGCTTCGAACGTGGCAGATTCTGATAGCAAGACCGTTATGGTCGAAGTAGTATAAATAGAGGTCTTAGTATTAGGATTTCGTGTGTCATATCTGTTGTACAAATTCAGTAAACATTCAAAATACCGCATGGATAGGGAAACGAATGCTCGAAAGATGTACGTATGATAACACCAACATTTACAATTCAATGAAAACTCTTTATATTTTTCAGTTTGTCTTTCATTTCCATTTTGTTTGTGCTTCAAACATTTTTACATTCATGCCTTTACATTAAAGCCTTTACATTCAGAGTCATTTATCTCTTTCTGCATTCAAAACACTTCTCTTATGTTCGAATTCTTTAAACATTCAACAACTTTTATATGCATCCTGCCATTTACCCAATCGTAAGTCTTTTTACTTTTTTATGAATAGTCCTTATACCATATAGAAACTATCCTTAGAATCATTTAGTGTAGTAATCGAAGTGGATTGGATATGTTTGAAACACTTTAATTAGAAAATCCTAAATATGAATACCAGTTTTACAATTAGACTTAACCAAACAACTATGTTCCATAGGATCAATCTAGTCGATCCTGCAAGTTACCAGAGAAATTGAATAACAGTCATTAAGTTTATTCGATAGTTTGGAAGACTAGCGGTTGTTTACCAGAAATCACTGTGAACAGTAAGCATACCCTTTAGGCAACGCTTCAGTACCTATTCCCCTTTAGCAGCGCTTTATCAAACCATATTCACCCCCTTAGACAACACTTTTTTAGAAAGTGCTGTTTAAGATATATGACCAAATTTCTGTATTTTTAAAATGGATTTTTAGCAGCGCTTTTGATAAAAAGTGTTGTCTTAAATGTGTTGTTTAATTTTATTTTTGACATAGTGTTATAACGAACAACAACTTAATTCGACAAGAGAAATTATACTTTTAATATAGATTTAGTGAGAGTGAGATTAAAAGAGAATGATAAAGACACGGGCAAGTGAAATGGAAAATAGTCTAGAAACTATTAAAAACATTTTCAATGATTAAATTGATTTAAATATAAAAAAATTGTATAAATCTATATACTCGTGAGAGAGAGAGAGAAAAATGAAAAATAGTCTAGAAACTATTAAATTTTTTTTAACATACTTGAAAAATGATAATGTAGTAAATGAAAGTATATTTCGCGGTGAATGAATGGATAATGATAATGTGGCTGTCATTACGCGGAACCCTCCTTCGTTGACTTTCCTTCTTACAATCTGTTATATTAATTCGTCTTCTTTCAACAGACGAACTCAATGAACTATTTTTTACATCAAATTTTTGTATGCTTCAACAAACTGAGGCTTGATGGATTCAGGTAACACTTGTTCCACTATCAAAATCTATTCACTTACACGTTATTTCGTTAACACTTAGTATTTTTTGTTTTCCATTTTCATTACTTATAGATATGTTACTCTCATGTACTTCCTTTCTCCGGAAACTGTTTTCTGCCCTGTCCAATTGTTTGCCATTTTCCAATTTGAGGCAAGGAGATGAAGCTTCCAATTCTTCCATGGATAATAATCACAATCAAAGCCGCGATGAAGCTTCCAATTCTTCCATGGATAATAATCACAATCAAAGCCGCGATGAAGCTTCCAATTCTTCCATGGATAATAATCACAATCAAAGCCGCGATGAAGCTTCCAATTCTTCCATGGATAATAATCACAATCAAAGCCGTAGATATACATACGATGTGTTTATCAGTTTCAGAGGTGCTGACACCCGCAACACTTTTGTTGATCATCTTTATGCTCATCTAACAAGAAAAGGTATTTTCGCCTTCATGGACGATAAAAGGCTTCAGAAAGGGGAGTCCCTTTCGCCGCAACTTCTTCAAGCTATTCAAAATTCTAGGACATCAATTGTTGTCTTCTCTGAAACATATGCCAGGTCTACGTGGTGTTTGGAAGAGATGGCTACTATTGCCGAATGTCGGAAAGAATTCAAACAAACAATTTTCCCTGTTTTTTATGATGTCGATCCATCTCATGTACGAAATCAGGTTGGGGTGTACCAGAATGACTTTGTTTTACACAAGAAGAAATTCATACATGATCCAAACAAGGTTGTGAGATGGACGAAAGCTATGGAATTTTTAGCTAACTTAGTCGGTTGGGATGTCAGGAACAAGTAAGTGTTATTCCCTTTGTTGTTACTTGTTTTACATTTTCTACTTCAATTCCTTTTTTAATTGTCCGTAACAAATCCAGCCTGTTTATTTATTCTTATGCGTGATAAATAAATTTACAATATTATCAATCACGTTTAAGCTCTACATAAACATTTAAGAATTGCAAAACTTGGCTAATAGACACATTAGTTTTACTAAATTAACTCTAATTATTACGTATCTATGTTAGAGTTAAATGACATAATGGTCAATCAGATATACATGCTTACAAAGTATAACATATAATTTATGTCGAAATCTGATAGTCATACAAGTATGTATAAAATTGAATGATCGATAAAATAATTTTAGGAATATCTGGATCCATTGAGAAATTTTTGTTGGCGGTAATCCTGAGAGTTGAGACAAACAATGAATACCTGATTACTTGTATGATTCTTCCTCAACCAGTACTCTTAATGTCTTTTAATACTCTTCAAATGGGGAGAAGAGATAATTTGCTTGCGTACTGTATATTGGAAACCATGGCTTATATATAATGTAATGGCCAATTAGGATTCCCATTATACTCCGATTAGTCATCCTAACATCCACTCATATTTGAACTCATATCTAATTATTTAATTAATTAATTAAATCATTCCTAAATAAAATCTAAATAGCCTTTTTAACATTATTTGATCACATAATTATTTAAGTCACTTTATTTAATAAAATAACTAATATAATTAAATAAATATATTAGATCACATGATTATTGGAATGCTAATATATAATTAAATAAATAAAATATTCCAACAATTTCAACATTAGTCAAGCTCTATATCATTAAATGAGATAAATTGCATGTATAAATGAAGTCATAATATAATATTCTATTCCTTTGTAACGATTTGTAAGTAAATTTTGCTTTTTAGATTCATTGAATATTCAATGTATCTAGTCTATATATGGACCAAATACATTAGTTATTCAATGAATCTAAAAAGTAAAATTTGTTTATAAATCGTTACAGAGGGAGTATATCATATTTCTATTCAATCCATTAATCTCTATATCTTTGTTAAAAGAATCTTTTAAAGTACTCTTGGTCTTGTTCTATTTTAAAGTTTTCTCTATTTTCCGCAATCTATTAAATGATATATGTACGTATGTATCTTTTCTTGTTTGAAAGTGTGACAATTTTAGGGTCCGTTTGATTCAAAAAAGAGAAGGGGAAGGGATAAAATTTAATAGAGGGGAGAGAAATTGAGGGAAAGGAAGGGGACAAAATTTAACTAAATATATGTTTGATTTAAAGAAGGGGAAAGAGAGGGGAGGGGGAGGCGGGTTTTTAACAACATGTATGTTTGATTCAGAAGTGGAGATGAGAGATTTTAAAATTAAATTACTTTTTTATCCTTATAAATATTGTCATTTGTACTTAGTAAAAATAATTTTAAATAAAAATATTTTTGACATTTAGACATAACAGTAAACAACAACACACACATTAGTTGAACTTTAACTCTTCGACACAAATCATACAATTTGTTAATAACAATTCTCTAATCTTAATGATCCATCTAACCCAATAGAATAAGTTATATACTTAAAAATAGGTAAAATAATGTTAGAATGTTAAAAACATTAAACAAATAATATTAACTTAAAACCTTTATTTATAACATATACATATTATATTTGCATATTATTGTTATTATTAATATTATAATAAAAAACATTATTATTATTATATATTATAAATAAGAATATGATATAATAATCACTACAAGAAAAACTGGAATTAGTCAGGGAATAAACTTTTCACAAATGACAAAAACCCTTCATAAATATAAAAATTGCAAGGGAACTGATCCCTTAGCAAAATATGGAGTCGCAAATTTATTTGCGAGAGGCTTACCATGTCGCCATTTTGCCAGACGCCTTTGGAGTTGGGTTAGAGAAATGATTTAGAGTCTTCTCAAGGTAAACTTTAGAAAGACAAAGATTTAGGAAAACCTTTGAAATTGTTTAAGGTTATTAGAAAACATTGGTTACTGTTTACCTGGGGATTTGGTAAACAACCGCTGATCCTCCAAATGGTTACTTATTTGGTTACTCGCAGGATCGATCAGATTGATCCTATGGACATAGGTTGATTTTGAAGTTTAATTAATGTGGATAAGGCTTTAAGTAAATTGTTTAAAGTAAATTGCATAAAGGAAAGGCTTGGTAAAATAAACAAGGCTTGAATGTAAAGGTTCGACAGGAATCTTAAAGGGAAAAAGCATGTAAAATACTGGAAAAGTAAATGACTTGAATTGATTAAATTGGTGTTTCACACATACATTTCTCAACAATTCGTTCGCTCACACTGGGTACTTGAATCTAAATGAGTGACTATGTATTTTTTGTGAACACCCGCGAGAAACTACACGTCTACTCCTATTTATACAAAAACATTCCAAGTAACCGTCGGGCAGTTACACTGCTTCGAGATCAAGCCACTTGTCACGTTCTCCATGCTCGACGCTCCAGATCCTTGCACGTTTGCACGTAGTAACTGCTGGAAACCGTTTTCCCTCCAAAGCTTTGAATTTCAAACTGCTCCACTCTGGACCATCGAACACGTTCGTCAAGAGACGTCTTCGACGAAAACTCCTTCGATATCGAAGGCAATCAGCCTTCTTCCTTAGAAGAAATCTTCTAAGTATTTGGCCACCTTTCGACGGGCACTTCGACAGGCTTAGCCAGTCGAAAGCATCTTTCAGCTTTTAATGGCTGTCATCAATCAAAACAAAGGTGTCGAATTTAGGAGCCAACAAATTGCCCCCCAAGAATGCCTTATTTCGACTCTTGAAAGAAAAAGGCATTCTTTGAAAACGCCATTCGACACCTGTTTTTCCACGCTTAGTCACAAGTTAACTTGTGCACTTTTTGTTGCTTTTTACCAACTATTGGCAATCCCAAGAAACCATCATTGATTTGATCCTAGGACGTCACTGTCAGTACGGCGTGCAGAACCAAACATCACTTCATAATTTGTCATTATGACGAATTCAAAAAACGAGGACGCACGCTGCGTCTCTCTGTTTCTGCAGAAACGGCCAAAACAACAGGATGCTGCCACGCGTCCCACTAATTCCTGCAGCATTAAATGACATTTAATGCCCTCGTTATTGGGAACTTCTCCCACTACTATAAATAGTAGTGAATATCCCATTGTGGGACTTTTCACGCACACTAGCCTTCAAACTCCCTTGCTTTCTCACAAACTTGTTCTCTTTGCAGAAAAACTCTTCCTTTTCCAACTTCATCTTCATCCTCAACAATGGCTTCTGCTTCAACTGCCCCCAAGACTAACGCACCAACTGAACAACTTGCTAAGCCCAAGGTCTTTGTAACTGCTCCGGTAGTGAACGCTACAGGGAAACGAAGGGTCCCTGAACCATCTGACATCTCCGTTCGTGATGCTTACTCGCGTCACTTGATGATTCCGGTTGGATACTCCAACCAAATCTTCGCAATGGCTGGACCCATGAACCCAAGCATCTCTGAAGCTCTAAAGATCAAGAGTTATTTCCCCATCGTCGAGAAACTTAAACCAGTAGCATGCGCCAAGAAGGACGCAGAAGACAACGAAGACCCTACACACGAGAAGATTGACCTTCGTTTCTTCAACAGAAGTGTTAGAGTCTTCAGGTCCTGCCCTAATCTCACCCAGGACTATGTTGCTTGGCTAACAAAGCTGGAAAAACATCAAACTCCAGTCTGGAAGGAAATGGGAATCTTTGACCTAATAATGCTGTCGAAGACAGGCTTAAACTACTCCCCAGAGATGCTTATAGCTTCGCTGTTGTTCTGGGATAACTCTCACTTCATCTTTCACCTTCCATGTGGGATGTTAACCCCCACACTCTTCGACGTAGCGGCCATCACTGGCCTTCGACCAACCGGAGATTACTTCGACCCGGAGGAGATGTCGGAGGACCAAATTGGCTTTTCTGAGACGAAGCCAACATACACTACCTTTATCAACCATTATCATGACCAGTCGACAGACGCAGTGTCAGACGTTGAACACATAGCGTTTCTAGCCTTATGGCTAACTCGCTTCGTGTTCTGTTCGAAGTCTCTGCAAGTGACCAAAAAGATGGTCACTCTTGCCACCCAACTGCATCACCGCCAGAACATCTGTCTGGCAGAACTGATTCTGGCCAGTCTTTATGACTCAATCAGCAATGGGGTTACTCTTTTGAAACATATCGAAGATAGGAACAGTTTGTTACTCGCTGGGCCTTTCTGGCTACTTCAACTGTGGCTCAACGCCACTTTCGAATCCTTCTTACCCAAGAAGAGTCAGATAAACGAACAAGCCCCAGCGATAGCTAATAGACGTATCGAAGGAATTAGGCTGGCTCTACTGACACCTGTGGAAGATGGGCTAGAGTTCCAACAAACCTTCACTAACTTCGTCCTGATGTTCGCTCGAAGGAAGGAATTTGTTTCGACTATGGCTCCATTTGCACAACGAAAGGTGGGGCCAGCATGGTTTACAAGGCCACATCCCAAGGAGTCGAGTGGTCCCAATGTCGATGAGCACTCTGTACTTTGGGAGGCATTCCTTACCCCAAGGATTATGCCTCTTCGATTTAAGAGTTCTAAGACTCATCTGAGTCTGCTTGCCTATCAACCAAATCTGGTATCTCGCCAGTTTGGTATCATCCAAACCCTGCCTTCTCCCATTTTCCCAAGAGAGAAGTCAATGTTGTACTTCTGCAACGATTATACAGAAGAAGCTGCCACCAGGCATATCGGAAGATATGCTGGTCGAACCATCCTCTCGCTGTTCAACTACCAGCTTAACTTCCTTTGTTCGCCATCTTTTGAAGAATGGTGGAGAAGCTATTACGCTGAGTACTTCTTCGACGAGAAGGACTTCATAGCAGAGTTGCAGAAGTCTTTTGTCCTTGTGTTTGACAAAGTAAAGAAATGTAAGTTCACACTCTCACATTAC